CTTTTCCTATTTCCTTCTCCCACCTTTCTTCTCTTCTTTTCCCCTCTGCCTCCATTCTTTCCATTTTTCCCATTATTTCTTTAAACATTTCTGTCCATTCTTTTCTTTCCTACTCCCATATCTCTTTTAATTCCCTTATGTCTGTCCGTATCTTTTCCATTATATCTTCTGCACCACTACTTTTTCCCACTTCTCTTATAGTGTTATCCAATCTTTCTCCCCCCTCCCCATCCATCTCGCTTCCCTCGCTCTCACTCTTGCATCTCTTTGCCTCTCTCATTTCTCCTCTATTATTCTCCCTCAGCCCCTCCCCGCTCTCTCTCCCCCTTACCACCTTTACTCTTTTCTTCTTTTCCTCCTCTGGGCCTTTCTTATCCAACCTTCCACCTTTATCTCTTAATTTTTCTGTTGTCACAAATCTTTTCATCCTATCCCGTACGCCTTAATTCGACTCTCTATAACCACCCATGATCCCACCTTTATTCCCTGTCTTACCTTTTCTGTCTCTGCCTTTACTTCTTACCGCCCCTCCTCTCTGCCTGCCTTTACCCCTTTCTGATTTTCTCTCTTAACCTCAACTTTTATTTTTTTTCTTTATTCCTTTCTCTCTGCTTTTTCCTGCTCTTCTCCAGGCTGCTCTCTCTCTCTCTTCTCCACTCCTCCTCCACCTCCACGTCCTTTTCACCTCTATTTCTCTCCTTAAACACTTTTCCTCTTTGACTTTCTCACCAAAACTCGCGCTCACATCCAAGACACGTCCACACTCCCCTCGAGTGAAATCTAACCCCGCTGACATACGAAAATTTCAGTAATATTTCGTGATATTAATATAATTATATAATGGGATAAGGACAGTTAATGCTATCGAAAGTCGCTGTCCTGATACCATTCCGTTAATTATAAGTTTACAACTCAGTATTACGATAGTTTATAACTAAATTAAGTCACAAATTAGTCGATACATTAAGTTAAGTAAGCACAACCCACAAATATATATATATATATATATATATATATATATATATATATATATTCATCATCTATCATCCCTTGATCATCGATCTTAATAGAGGATTATAGAAATGACTAAGATATTGTATACTCTCTTTTCTATTTAAAGTGTTTCTATGTAAGTCGATGTGCAACATTTCGGATATTTTGCGTTTCTTATAATTCTTTTCATAATCCAATATCTTAGCTTTGTCCTAGTCAAATTCGTGTGAGAGAGTTCTTCTATGTGTAGCTACTACTGTATCTGAGTCAATGTTTTTTTTGTTTTCATTTTATCTAATTTTTAAGGATCGCTTACTGTCACATATGTAGATCGTTGAACATTGTATGTAGTTAAAACTGTAGACAATACCAGTGTTGTTTAATAAATCAGATTTGAGTTTTCCTAAACGAATGAACTCTCGTAATGGTTTTTGTAATAAAGGGATTGGAGTAATGTCATGTATTTTAAACACAGAAGAACATTTTTTTTAAATATTGCAATTAATTGGAATAGCGACTGTAGGTTGTTTTTAATTTATTAATTTGTTAAAATTATTCTTCCCTTTTTTATATTTGCTAATCCGTTTGTGTATGTGTTTCTTGATAAATTCAGATGGATAATTATTCTTTTTCAGGATATTGGTAACTATTTTTAAATTGCGTGAATGAAATTTTTTGTCAGCAAGGAAAAACACCTGGTCAACTAAATTTAAAACTATATTGACTTTTTGATGAATTGTATGTTCTGAATTAAAATTCCAAATTCTGTCAGTTTGTATTGTTTTTCTAAACCAGTCAAGTTTTAATTTATTATTATTTCTGATCAATTTTAAATCGAGAAATGGAATAAAATTATTCACTTCAATTTCAAACGTAAATTGTAATCTATTATGTTCTATTTATAATCCATAAGATTCTGACGAATTTGGCAAATTCATTATTTACGACAAAATTATAATATGTTATGATAATAAAATTATAATGTAATTTTAACATATAAGACTTCTAATAAATAGAAACGCTGTAAACCAATAAACATACATTTGAATAATCAAATAAAAAAAGATATTTTTAATTTATCAAAATAATAATAATTCTCTACCGACATCATTTATTACCATGGCTCGAATTCACCCTGCTATAAAAGTTCCATTGAAAACCATTGAAGAATTTCTGAATGGTTTTCAATCTTCGATCTGAACACTCCAAATGACTATTGAATATGATTCCTCATCCAACAAGAAATGTCAAGATATTAAATACTATTGGTTCCAATAATATAGATTACTATTGATTCCTAATCGAGATTAATCATTATCAATAGAAAAATATACTATTAAAGTAATGGTTTTCAATAGGATTCAATGAAATTTCTCATGTATGTTACCCAATCGATTTCAATGGTAAAATTCGTGGTCAAATCGAAGATTTGAAACCATTCGAATGCGATAATCAATTTGATTGAATTGATATCAATGGTTTGTTATTGCAACATTCAAGTCTCGTATCGTTGAATAATTTTCAATAGTTTTGAATATGAAAGTCCTAACATTTCAATAATATGCAATAGAAAATATCAATCTAATTGAATGGGTATTAATGGTCTTTTATCGCATGATCAACTTTTTTTCTGACGTTGAATAATTTTGAATAGTTTTTAATGTGAAGATCACATCAATCCATTTATTTACAATTGAAAAAAAATCGAATACTCATTAAAAATTATATTCGAATATGTTTTTACTTAAAAACTATTAAAATTGATAAAAGTCTATTCAATCAAATCATATACGGAGTTTTTTCATTCATGACCTATATAAAATTATAATATCCAAAGCATAAGATACGATTCTTCAATTATAGTATCGAACAACTATTCAAATTTATAAAAAATCATTCAATTATGGAAATTTTTTCTTTCATCATCTAATGAAAAATTATAGAATAAAATTATATTTGATAAGTTTGTAGAATGAAGGATTATTCAAAACTATACAAACTACTTCTCAATAGAATACGATTGAGTTTTACTTGCATTTACCAATCATTAGATTTCATTAAAAAATATTCAATTGAAAATATTTGAAATTTTTTTGTTTGCCTTTCATAAGAAATGATAGAATACTATACCTCATTGAATGCGATTGGGATATTTTTGTATTGACCAATTATTAAGATTAAAAAAAAACTATTAAATGAAATATTGCTAAAGTTACAGTATTGCTTTTGCTCATATTGGCATATATGGAAAACCATTCTATAAAATATTATTGACCAACCGTGTAATTGGATAAAAATTAATATCCATATAATATGATTCAATAAAATATGATTGGACAATTATTGTATCGAAAAATTATTAAAATTCATAGAAAGATATACAATAAAATATCATTGATTAATTATTTTATTGAACTGTGATTGATATTCATTCAATGCAATTGGATAGATTATCATTGAAACCATTCCTATACAAAGTATTATTCAGAAAGATTGAATTCTATTAAATTTAATGGTAAGTTTTACTATTAGTTATGCTTACCATGAAGTATTATTGAAAATCATTCAGTTTCAATCGTCATCGGAACATTGAACCATTCAGTTCATTGATTACCATTGAATATGAATGATCCCGAATAGGAATGAATGGAACTTTTTTAGCAGGGAACCTTCTATAATATACTCGAATTTCTATATCACATAAATCAGATATCTGCGGCATTTCCTTTCAATGAAAATTAAAGATAGCTTATACATTCCAGTCTAATTTTGTATTTAACGTCATTCCAAATGAAACAGTAATGTTTCATTACTTGTAATGTTGAATTTCGTTTTCAGTTTTAAAATGAAAAAAAAATTTTCTTAACAATCATCCCTACCATAGTTAGGTGGAAGATATCTATTTTTATTCCTCAATGAATATTGACGTATGTAGTCCATTCAAAGCAGCATAACTTACTTATGCCCATTAGAATCTCCAAACTGGCATTTAGAAAGTTCAAATAACGTAATAAATAACATAAATACATTAAAGAAAGAGCGCATAAAGCATGCTAAATAACACTAGTGAGAAGATAAATTTGATTACATTTAAAAATCAAGACAGATGTATTAATAAGTCTTTATAGATTGTAACGGAGATTTAGACCACTACAATATATTAATTAATCCGAGATCAAGTAGTGGCTTGCACAATTGCAGCTCTTCGCGGGATTACGTTCTGCTACGTAAGACTGGCCCGGTAGTTCACATCGCCAGCTAGCCCGCGGAGAGCGTCGTGGGTCGCGCAGTTTAAATCGCGAAAGTTGAGTGAAGCGATAGAAAGAAAAGCCATGCAGTTTTAGTAGTATACAAATATATATAGCTTATGTACGTGTCAGTGTACAGGGCGGTTCAGAGAGAGCGGTGAGATAGGCAAACCGAGAGAGATATCTAAGGCACCATCGGTATTTAGATTAATTGAAGCCTCTCAATTACGATTCGGCAAGATTGCAAAATTCGCCTAACTGTACAGTCCCTTGTCGCGAAGGAGAGGAGGTATTGCACGTACAGTTGCACCTCACTAACTTGTCACAGTCAGAAGTCACTCTCTAGCCACGAGGCGATTTACAAAGAAAAGCTAAAACGAGGATACGCACGACCGAATGCCTCTGCACGGCTCGTGAGCTATCGGCTAATTGCCGGCCCTTCGTCACGTTGCGCGCGGCGCGTGGTTCGTCACACATATCGTTATGCCTACATCCGCACGCAGTATCTCTCTGCCGGCGCTCTCTCTTACCTATAAGTAATCGTCGTCTGCTGCTGCTAAGGAGAAATATTATTCAAATAATGTAACATTATAGATATATAATATTCTTAATATTATCGCCATATAGAGAGAGAGAGAGAGACAGAACGAGTTGACGTCAAACTCGTTATAGTATATAATATAACTTTTTTATGATTTTAATAAATTAGATAACAAACTGTATAATATTGAAAATTAATCGTTTGTTTAATAATTTCAGCTGTTAAATCTATAAAGAAGCAACATCTTGTTGAAGTGCGATCAATGGCTAATCCTCCAGCTATAGTTAAAGTGGCCCTTGAATCAATTTGTCTCCTACTTGGAGAAAATGCAAGTGATTGGAAATCTATTCGTGCAGTTATTATGAGAGACAACTTCATAAATACTATTGTATCGAATTTCAGCACTGAAAACATTTCGTGAGTATAATTTCGTTATAAATGAGGTAACAAAATTTTCTGTCTGAATTATTCTTTCAAAAATATAGTACTATCTATAGTAATATAGAGTGCGACATACGAGGGTGGTCCGATAAGTACTTAGCCTCACCGCCCGATGGCGCCACTCTCGCAAAAGAAATATTCTATCACGTAATACAACCTTTTCGATGGTTACTGTCAAGATTTCAGCTGGATCGGAGTTGTAGTTTATTTTTGAGAGCGTGTGAAAGCAAGTGTGTCCATTGATTTTTGAAAAATGGAAAAAGAGCAGTATTGATCGGTGATTCGATTCTTGTTTTTGGAAGGGAAATCGCGCAGCGAAATCAAAAAGCGCTTGGATGCTGTGTATGGTGACTTTTTTCCTTCGATGGCGACCGTCAAAAATTGGTTTAACGAGTTTCAACGTGGTCGCACGTCGATTTTTGAAGAGCCACGTCCAGGTGCTCCGAAAGCGGCTACCACGGAGGATAACGTGACAAAAATTCACGATCTCGTATTGGTAGATCGACGATTGAAGGTGCGCGAGATAGCTAAGATCGTAGGCATCTCAAAAGACCGCGTGGGTCATGTCCTGCATGAAATTTTGCGCATGAGAAAGCTGTTGGCGCGATACTTAAGCGCAATCCGAAGGAGTTTCTGCGTCGTTTCGTGACATTCGACGAAACATGGATCCACTGGTATACACCAGAGACCAAGGAACAGTCGAAACAGTGGACTTTACCCGGCGAAAGTGCTCTGAAGAAGGCGAAGACTGCCCCATCGGCCGGAAAGGTGATGGCCACCGTTTTCTGGGATTCACAAGGTGTGATCTACATCGACTGCCTGGAGAGGTGCAAAACGGTCAGAGGACTGTACTATGCCGAATTATTGGGCCGATTCGACGTCGAATTACAAAAAAAACGGCCCCATTTGGCGAAGAAAAAAGTGCTCTTCCACCATGACAACGCACCGGCTCACACCTCCGCCGTCGCCATGGCCAAATTGGTCGAATTAGGCTACGAACTGCTGCCCCATCCACCGTATTCTCCAGATTTAGGCTCGTGCGACTTCTTTTTGTTTCCAAACTTGAAAAAGTCACTCGCCGGCAGAAATTTGAGTCGAATGAGGAGGTAATCGCTGCCACGGAGGCCTACTTTTCAGACCTCGAGGAAACGTATTTTTCAGACGGGTTAAAGAAGTTGGAGCATCGCTGGGCTAAGTGTATCGAACTAGAAGGAGACTATGTTGAAAAATAAAACGCCACTTTTCCAAAATTTTCGTTTTTCTTTTGTAGGCTAAGTATTTATCCCACCACCCTCGTACATACGTAATATGAAATCTAATTGAAAACTACTATACAGGCTGTTCAAAAAATAACGAAATATCTGGAGAAATTACGTAGTAAACTATTATTTTGGAAAGATCAAGGTCATTCTATGGATAAGTTCATGAGCAATCAATTATTTTCCTTGAATTTGACCTTGAGCGTCTTCCTCAATGATATTTCAAAGTCAACTTTGTTTTCTTAAATGATAAATTTTGTAATAATTGAATGAAGGGAAATAGTGAGAGATGGAAATTCATTTAATTTTAATTATATTCAGTAACGTTTCCTCAGCACACTTGCTGAACTCTTCAGGCTTTATTAACAAAAAAACAACAAATTATTAACAATAAAGTTGCAAATGTAATTTTAAAGGCATATTATTATATGTATATGTGTGTACCTGATTTCTTTCGTAGTCAAATTATTATACGTTGAAACGAATAGTTTGTAGCCAGTCACGTTACAATACAGTAAGAAATCAAGTATTTCAACACATATATATATATATTCTTCATCTATCATCCCTTCCTTATCAATTTTAATGAAGGCTTATAAATATGACTAAAATATTGTATACTCTCTTTTCTATTATATATAAAGTGTTTTTATGTAAGCCGATATGCAACATTTCGGATATTCTGCGTTTCTTGAAATTCTTTTCATAATCGAATATCTTAGCTTTGTCCCAGTCAAATTTGTGTGAGAGAGTTCTTCTATATGTAACTACTACTGTATCTGAGTCAATGTTTTTTTTGTTTTCATGTTATCTAATTTTTAAGGATCGCTTACTTTCACATGTGTAGACCGTTGAACATTGTATGTAGTTAAAACTGTAGACAATACCACTGTTGTTTAATAAATCAGATTTGTGTTTTCCTAAACGAATGAACTCTCGCAATGGTTTTTATAATAAAGGGATTGGAGTAATGTCATGTATTTTTAACACAGAAGAACATTTTTTTTAAATATTGCAATTAATTGGAATAGCGACTGTAGGTTGTTTTTAATTTATTAATTTGTTAAAATTATTCTTCCCTTTTTTATATTTGCTAATCCGTTTGTGTATGTGTTTTTTGATGAATTCAGATAGGTAATTATTCTTTTCCAGGATATTAGTAATTATTTTTAAATTGCGTGAATGAAATTTTTTGTCAGCAAGTAAAAACACCTGGTCAACTAAATTTTTAAACTATATTGACTTTTTGATGAATCGTATGTTCTGAATTAAAATTTAAAATTCTGTCAGTTAGTGTTATTTTTCTAAACCAGTCAAATTCTAATTTATTTTTATTTCTACTCAATTTTAAGTCGAGAAATGGAATAAAATTATTCATTTCAATTTCAAACGTAAATTGGCTTTATTGGTTGATATTGTAATGGAAGACTTAGAGAAATATTACCTGAACGTGTTGTGGAATAAATATCAAAGTAATCCTGTTTTCTACTATAGATATGTTGATAATACTTTGATGTGCGTTTCGAAAGATAAAACTGATTTAGATGTGAAGACGTTCAATTCTTATCATAATAGATTATAATTTACGTTTGAAATTGAAATGAATAATTTTATTCCATATTTGGACTTAAAATTGAGCAAAAATAATAATAAGAATAGAATTTGATTAGTTTAAAAAAAACAACACAAACTGACAGAATTTTAAATTTTAACTCAGAACATACAATTCATCAAAAAGTCATTATAGTTTAAAATTTAGCTGATCGGGTGTTTTTACTTGCTGGCAAAAAATTTCATTCACAAAATTTAAAAATAATTACTAATATCCTGGAAAAGAATAATTACCTATCTGAATTTATCATAAAACACATACACAAATGGATTAGCAAATATAAAAAAGGGAAGAATAATTTTAACAAATTAATAAATTAAAAACAACCTACAGTCGCTATTCCAATTAATTGCAATATTTAAAAGGAAAGGTTCTTCTGTGTTAAAAATACATGACATTACTCCAATCCCTTTATTATAAAAACCATTACGAGAGTTCATTCGTTTAGGAAAACACAAATCTGATTTATTAAACAACACTGGTATTGTCTACAGTTTTAACTACATACAATGTTCAATGGTCTACACATGTGAAAGTAAGCGATCCTTAAAAATTAGATAAAATGAAAACAAAAAAAACATTGACTCAGATACAGTAGTAGTTGTGACGAGAGCAGGCCGTTTGCCCGTCTCTCGTCCGCGTTTCTCCCTCCCCCACTCGGCTAAGCGTGGTGGCCAACGTTGGGCGCATTTAAGTATGCGCCTAACACTTGGTCTTTTGTTTCAGCGCCAAGGACGAGCCAGCGCAGTTGAGCGCAAGAAAAGTTGAAGAGCGCGGAGAGAGAGTGAGAGAAAGAGAGAGAGAGAAAGAGAGTATTAGGCCTATGCAGGGATTGGCAGGCGCGCAACGCGTGACCGATAAGCGACGCGTCGCGTGCCGCCTAACTAATAGGTCAAGGTAGGGAGAGGAGCGAGCGCCGCAGAGCGACTGCAAGAGGCGCGCAAGAATTAGTGCGTGAGAGAGTCGCAGCCGAGCCTTACGAGAGTGAGGGAGTCTAAGCCTAGTCTTGCTAGAGTGCGGAAGTCCGAGCCCAGCAGAGAGAGCAGTTTGGGATAGCCGGAAGGAAGGACGATTAACCCTACCGGCAACGGCTTTGCCAGCAACAACAGCCAGCCCACCTGCCAAGAGAGTCAACGCCACCGACGGAGACCTGGTCAGCGACAGCGGGTAGCGACGATCTGACCAGCGACGACGGCCGGTACGTCCTGCGGCAGCACATCGCCCAGGATTCTCGACGTTGCAAGGAACAAGAAAAAAAGGTCAAGTCTTCCTTTTCTTCTTTCTCTCTACACTCTCTCTCTCTGTTGATGCGACGACCGGTGCGCGGTGAAAGAGATAGCCTGGCACTCACGTGCCGGCTATCTGAAGGTTCGCGCTAAGGTTAATTTGTAGTGATATAAGTTGCGACCGGTGAATTGTCCAGGCGCCCACGTGCCGGGCAATTTCCCGGTATTAGTCCGCGTAGTTTTAAGTAAGTTTGTAATAGGTTAAGTGTGCGATTTGGTATTAATGAAATGCGAAATATTCAGTTGCGATTATCTTAAGCAGTTTATTGTTCGATTTTTAGTTTGTTAGTCGGTAATTTAGATTATGTTATGCGCGCGTTTGTTCAGTGTGAATGATTATTAATAATAATAGGTTGTAAGTGAGATTTGGTTCTTGTCTGTGTATAATTTATTTATCAGCCTCCCCTCATTCTTCCCTCTCAATTGTCATGAGCGAAAGCGCCTCACTTACCCCGCAAAAGAATTGGTAACAAAGGATTAAGTTTTGTTACATAGTTACATATAGAAGAACTCTCTCACACAAATTTGACTGGGACAAAGCTAAGATATTCGATTATGAAAAGAATTATAAGAAACACTTTACATAAAAACACTTTAAATAGAAAAGAGAGTATGCAATATCTTAGTGATATTTATAAGCCTTTATTAAGATTGATGAGGAAGGGATGATAGATGAAGAATATATATATATATGTGTTGAAATACTTGATTTCTTACTGTATTGTAACGTGACTGGCTACGAACTATTCGTTTCAACGTATAATAATTTGACTACGAAAGAAATCAGGTACACACATATACATATAATAATATGCCTTT